GCAGTGCACCTACTTTGCGGTGACAATGTAGTCATAGTTATTTTATTTAAGAGGAGGCGCTCTAGTAACTGTACAACGCTAAACCCCCTTGGCCTGTTCAACGGCCACATCTGTACGCAAGAAAATCATTATGTACACAGGCAATGTTCACGTCCACAGTGGTTTGGTTTAGGCAACAAAAGCATTAAAAGGTAAATAAAAACATTGTATCTGAAGTAACTGCAGACTTTTTCTGTATTAAACCAGACCTCAGTCTTTCAAAAAGGTTAATAATACTGTAGTCAATACAACTTGATATTGTTCTGCAATATCAAACAATTAGGGTGCCAGTGAAGGTTTTACTGCTAGCCTACATTCAGTATCAACAAATTTGCAATTAGCCAAATGAATTAACAACATATCCTCATTATGTTAATGGTAGTAATAGAATGTAATTCAAATTGGAATTATGTTTCCTCCCAAATGGTATTTGCTGTTGCAAATTAGTCGTGTAGAAACATTATTTCTAGGATACAGGGTTGGCATGGTGACATTGTCATTGTAAGCATGTTAGCACACTCTTGTGCCAGACTACAGTCTCACAAATTGGCTAGCATGACTGTAGTCTCAGTCTTGTTCTGTAATGGTCTATAAAATTACATGATTACAGTACCACATCATCATTTTTACAAGCCTATCCTGGCTGAGCTTTCAAAATATTAACCAATCTTGGTGGCACAGAGAATCCCTGTCAGAACACCAAGAAAGACATTTTAAAAAGTGGCACTGTCACAATTTAATTGGGATGTCTGGTCTCTGCATTGCAGCCTCCAGGGACCACTAGTTGGGCTTTAAAGTTTTGGTCTTAGTGTTACATCACAAAAAAGAAATGTGCCCACTCTTTGTAGTATGTTTTCTTCAGTAGCAATGCTTAGAGGGACAAGAGCAGAAAGGTAAAAGAATGAATAGGGGATGAATTCCACACAACTTCTCAGCCTCTATGGTCTGAATGTAAAAATGTAACAATCTGGGAAGAAAAAACATGTTTGTTGTTGTATATATTCAAGGTTGTCCACCTCAAGACATTCAGGAATCCTGTCCTGAATTTTACACATATCTGACACTGCTCTGCTTTGGTATGAAAAGTGAACTTGGGCTCCCTCACAATTTTACAATACAGTTTCATAAACCATATCAACTTACTTACTTACTGTATACTTACTTATACATAGGTCTAGTCGTTTAGACATTTTTATGCAGAAAAGGTTCATATTGTACCTTTAATGAGGTGACCAAACATATATCCTCTATAGTTAAATAAGACCATGCTCACAGTTTCAGATACAAATTATGTGTGTATAATGATCAATATAATATAATATTATGATCAATACTCTGATATGATGTTTAAAAACAGACAGAAAGCATGTTTCTTATCACTTGTCATAAGGTTAGAATGTGAAAGTAGTATGAGTTACACTGTCATATTTAGCAGCAGTACAATAAAATAGTCTCTCAGGGCTCTGACTGGTTTGTAGTCAGACAATCTGTACAACATGCCCAGGTTTTAATAATACATTGCCTCTAAAAATCTCACTCGTTCACAGAGATAACGCAGTGCTCACAGCAAAGCTGAGCAGTGTACGCGGCTAAATGAACAGCGTAGGATGTGTGAATGTGTGTTAACACTGGTCACACAACCCCTTGGGTTCAGCAGCGTGCACACACACAGTCACAAATCTCCACACAGAGTTGACAATTAGCGTTGTGGTACAATGTGCTGCAAAAATTGCAATTTGCTGCAGGTCACAGGGGTACAGGAGTCACAGGAGCCCCAGAGACTCTCAGAGCAGGCATGACCTCAGTGTGGAACAAGTGTGTGCATGGGGGGGACAGGGTGCACCAGGAGGTCAGGGCACTTTTTTCCCCTCCTCATCGAGAGAAGGAAATTCGGCCTCTCTATTATTCTTTAATTGCGAATGAGAATAGTTCCTATTTAACTTTTGCTCTCTGAAACACTGGGCAGTGATTAGACGGTAAAATAATGCTTATCTGGCCAAATGCCTGACATTTTAGTTCTCACCATTCTTCTTGGACCGCTGAATGAAGTAGTCACGGTGATGTTACAAGTCTGTCAGAAATCCTTGAGCTTTCCACGACTCCCTGGGGAGGAGATGCCGCCCTTATCAAATGGAGCAATGCAGCAAGGTCCCTTTACAATTTGATGAGACACTGACAGAATACTGATAGACATGTCCCATTAGATGGCAGACACTCTTCTAAGCCCTAATTTAACTTATAAAGGTCATACACAGAATACGACTGTAAAATGATCAATCATTTAAATGCATGGTGAAGTATTCATAATAAATGAATGGGAGAGCTCATAATATGTGAAGGAGAGATGAAGAGAATGAAAGGTAGACAAGCTGTTTGGATAGCAGCACTTTGTGAAACTAATAACAGTTAAGATTGCTTTCTCTCTGATTAGCTAATGAACTTGAATTGAACAAATGCTACCCTAATCTTTGTAAACGTTGTCACCCATTCATCAAATATGGACAGGTTGACAGTGCATTCAGAAAGTATTCAGACCCCTTCACTGTTTTCACATTTCATTATGTCACAGCCTTTCGCTAAAAATCATCCTCATCAATCTACACTCAATACCCCATAATGACAAAGCAAAAACAGAATTTTTGAAATTTCTGCAAACTTATTAAAAAAGGCAAACTGAAGATATCACATTGGCTTACAGGAAATATTCAGACCCCTTTCTATGACACTTGAAATTTTGCTCAGGTACCTCCCAATTCTCCCGATCATCTCTGAGATCTTGATTGCAGGCCACCTCTGGTAAATTCAATTGATCGAACATGATTTGGAAAGGCACACACCGGTGTAGATAAGGTCGCACAGCTGACAGTGCACATCAGAGTAAAAACCAAGCCGGGTGGAAGAAACTGCCTGCAGAGCTCAGAGACAGGGGACAGGGGAGGGCTACCAAAAAAGTCTGCTGCATTGAAGGTTCCCCAAGAGCACATTGGCCTCCATAATTCTTAAATGGAAGAAGTTTCAAACAACCAGGACTCTTTGTAAAGATGAGCGCTGGGTCAAACTGAGCAATCGGGGGAAAGGAGCATTGAAAGCCCACTTGGAGTTTGCAAAAAAAGCACCTAAAGGACTCTCAAGACTGTGAGAAACAAGATTCTCTGGTCTGATGAAACTAAGATTGAACTGCTTGGCCTCAATTCTAAGTGGCATGTCTGGAGGAAACCAGGCACTGCTCACCACCTGCACAATATCATCCCAAAGGTGAAACAGCATCAGGCAGCATCAGGCAGCATCAGGCAGCATCAGGCAGCATCAGGCAGCATCAGGCAGCATCAGGCAGTGGGGGTGTTTTTCAGCAGCAGGGGCAGGGAGGATGGTCAGGGAGGGAAAGCTGAACAGAGCAAAGTACAGGGATATCTTTAAAGAAAACCTGGTTTAGATTGCTCAAGACTTCAGACTGGACAATGACCCTAAGCACACAGCCAAGACAACGCACGAGTAGCTTAGGGACAACTCTGTTGTCAAGCCAGAGGCTTGACTTAGAACAACTATGGAGCGACCTGAAAATGGCCGTCCATCAACAGTCCCCATCCAACCTGACAGAGCTTGGAGGGATCTGCAGAGAAAGATGGCAGAAAATCCCCCAAATCCAGGTGTTCACAGATGTAATCGCTGCCAAAGGTGCACACTGAGAACTAAGTCAAGGGATGAATACTGAATACTTATGTCAATGTGATATTTCAGTTTTTCTTGGTAAGAAATTTGCAAAAATTTCGAAAATTCTATTTTGGCTTTGTCATCATGGGTTATTGAATGTAGACTGATGAAGTTAAACATGAATTTAAATCATTTTAGCATATGGCTGCAATTTAACAAAATGTGAAAAAAATGAAGGGGTCTGAATACTTTCTGAATGCCCTGTATCTTAGATCACTGAAGACCATTTTTGGAAAAACATTTACCTAATTAGCAGCTTTTTGTTAGCCCGAGCTTATCGTTAGATAGGCACAAAGATGTAACCTTTGGTTAGAAGATTAAAACAGATTTCACAGTTTGTTCTTATGATCTGTGCTAATTGGATATAGTCATATGAAGCCATCACTCTCAAAGCAGCAGACCAATGCTTCCGTTCTTTGAAGAATTAATTTATTCATTAGAAAATCCAGTGTTGTGACACAAAGTCTAACAGGAATAACATTGTGTGTCTCTAAAGAATAGGGTCAAAAAATTATTTAACTGGAGAAATATAAATCATATTTGTCAGAATTACACTTTTTTTTATATGCCAATGCTTTTATCTCTTTATCCCAGGGTAAATGTGACAAGCTTCATAGTTAAGTTCTGCTCTGAGACTTTAACCACTAACAAGTACTGAGGATAAAACAAGTCTGAGGGCCAAAAAATATCGCACACAAAGCTATTACATTTTTCAGTCATACCATCGTTGTTACATACGTATAAGCGTGCTCAACAGTCTCTCCTCTGGTCACTGGATCAACTTGAAAATAACATAAACCAAATGAGGGAGAAAGGAGATGTCTGTTGTGTGTTGAGTAAGTATTGACCAACAGGTGAAGCTAAAAGGTATATTGATATGTGTTAAACTTGTGCATGACTGGAATGAATTAATAAATGAGAAGTTTAGTCAGAGCATTAATTAATGTTTCCGTCTTGTTTCTGTTTGTTTGCTCCCTTGGCATCTTTCTTACTGGACGATTTAGATCATCAGTGATGTAATCTGAAACCAAATGAGTCTATCCTCTGCATTGCGTTAGTTAGCCCTGACTAAAAGAATACATAATGATAAGCACTGCATAGATTTACCACCAATGCAAATATCCGCTTTGCAACAGACGTTTTCACCGCAAAGCTGCAGCACTGAAACTATGACTCACTCTGTCTCTGTGTGCGGCTTCCTGTGAAGATAAGTCATCCTGTTCACTGTCTGACAGTCTCTGCCCCACTCTTTAACCCCAGCCGACAGTCTACTGTTTCTGTCTATGCCGAATCCCTCGATGGATTCAGCCTGATTGATCGTAATGAGTTTGGGGAGCTCAAACATGGCTGGAACTGCGCTGGGAGCGGCCTTCTCTCTCCTCCTCTATGCCTCTGTTATACAAGGTAATCCTGGACCACGTGCGCTGTTGCTCATATGGTATAGCAGCAAAGATTGGGATATTCACCGCGGGTTTTAAATGTGTATTGGCTTCTGGTGTGACAAGCTGTCTCAGTATAATGCTACGATTTTTATCAGCCTGCATCCCAGCAGGATTGCAGTTTGTATTATCAACTTCAAAGTGTAAGTGATTTTGTCTCCTCTACTTTTCTTGCTTCCAATACTGTATCTGATGTGTTGAACAGGGCTCCCGGATGTTGAGAGGACCCGTTCTGAAGTGACAGAGGCAGTGGTGGGCCAGAACATTACTTTACCCTGTACCATAAAGAGCAATCCTCAACTCAAGATTGTCAATGTTGAATGGAGTAAGAAAAACGCAAAGCTGGCTCTGTATAGTCAGCTTTATGGAGTCCATCTATTTTGGCCCAATGTCACTATACAGATTGAGAACAATACTGCAAACGAGTTGATGGGCTCCTATCTGCACCTTCCTGCGGTGAATGAATGGGACAGTGGCATCTACGTTTGCGATATTGCAGCCTTTCCCTCTGGCTCCATCAGGAGGGAGACGGAGCTGAAGATCAAAGGTACGGCAAGTGCATGCAAAGTCACACCTGCAGACCTTAACCAGACTCTGCAGCACCTCACAGGATTTCATATTTGGAGAGACATGTACAGCAAGTTTATAGTTTATTGTCCATTGCATATATTTCATGTTACTCCTGATTGCATCAGAGCGTTGCTTCTCTGCCAATCATGGCGGTTATTTACTTCTGAGCAAATGTATGTAATAATCGCAAGAACACATCTGAGAGCTTTGTTTGCCATGAAAAATTTATTTCCCTCTTCCCTCTGTTTGGCCCATTTCTTCTTCTCCTCATCAGTCACATAGTTGTCCACTGATGCAGGAAAAACATACCCTCACCTTCATTTCAGCTGAAAGTGAAGCGAAGGGATGTTCTTATCATAATAGGTGCAGAAGACAATTACAGGAGGTGTTGTTTATGTCAGTAATCTTTAGCAGGTATTATCCTCAGATGTCATTTTGTTGGTTTCATTTTACAGCAAATGCTTTACATGAGCAAGAATTTGTATTAATCCTCACATTTTCTCTCTGTCAGTTGTGGTTAAAGTAACGTGTGATGTGGACGGCGCCGTTGACGTCCGTAATGGAGAAAACGTGACAATTCGCTGCAGAGCCTCTGCTGATGCACAGTACAGGTGGACCAAGGTAACAGAAAGCAGAAAAACAGTTCATCAGTAGGTTTCTGCCAGTCCAGTGAATTTCATTTCAACGATTTTATTTGCTTATTCAATTAGACGTTCAGTGAGCGCCGAGATGATTTGATTACCTCTGACATCAAAACCTACATACACTGTGAGAGGCATCTACCAAATGTGCGACATAATCTTGTTTTTGCCCCAGAACAAGATGCCGGTGTCAGAGAGTGAATCTCTACAGCTCTGGCGGGTGACCGACGCTCACGCAGGGGTTTATGCACTGACTGTCAACACAGGAAACCAGAGTCTGCATAAAGAGTTTACTGTCACCGTGCTAACAGCGACCACAAGCTTAAGCACAGGTGAGCTTCGTTTCCTCGCCACCGTTTCTCTCTTTGTGTCGTACTCAATTTCAGCATTTCCTCAGGGCTGGATTAACAATCTAGGAGAGGGGCCCAAGAGACTGCATGACTTAATAAACTGCACTGGACCAGAGAGCTCATTCTTGACTTTTGTCATTATACTGTAGCTCACTCAATTTAGATTTTTAATTAGCTGAAAGGAAAGGGAGAGATTCAAAGGATTTCAAATCTGCCAGCCATGTTATGAGAAAGCACCAGTAACTGTGAACAAATTGGGAACTACAAAACTTAAAAAAATGTTTTTAAAAAATCCTCAATTATTTGCTGCAAATCAGTCACCCCATGGGATTAGGTTGAATACTGAGCTCAGCTGAGCTAAAACAGCATTCAGGGTTTTAAATGACAAAACAACCAAACTGAACTGCATGTGGATTTCAATATGTAACTAAAGAAAAAAAAAACAAAAAACACAAACACAAGCCACACAGACGTCAGAAGTCACTTCCTGTTCTTCTTCTCTATCCGCTTTCAAGCCACAAGAACAAAACTCCCCAAGCAGAGTCTCAGCAACAGCATCTCTGAATCATGACACGGGGTGACAGCACAATCTGTTGGACAAAGTGGAGCAGTGCAGCCTTAATGAAGGTTTGCAAAGCAGTAGAGAAAAGCTTCCATCTTAGATCACGTTGCATCGCAGCATTGGATTGTATTAAGCGCAATTAGATAGATTATTTATCAAATTGCGAGTATTTATTATTAGATTAATGATGGGTCTGCACAGGTGTATGTATGGGGGTACACATGGCAAAACAAAAAAGACTCACAATGAATTAATTGCACTTATTACTTAGGAATATATACACACCTTGCTGCTGAATTTTCAATTCATACCCACACCTTTAGCTCAGGAATCTGTGTCCTTGACTTCACACTCCAGGATCTCCAATGAGCTTTTTTTTTGCCTTATTTCACCTATTGATTATGCACAGAGTGCTCATAAATGCCAACCTGGCCCATGTTTTAATGATGTATCGCTGTGCACTGGGTATTTCAAAGTTTTGCAGTCCCTACTCTGTATTCAGCTTTTTAATCATAAAGTTCATCAAAGGAACAGTTCAACATTTTGGGAAACACAAAGTGTAAAAAAAATAATTTTTCCACAGGAGGTTATGTGCCAGGAGTGCTTCTTAGCTGGCAGCAGCAGGGCCTGCAGGAAGTTGCAGCTCATAACTCCCCGTGAAAGCACAATGTTTCTTTTTGTTCGGACTTAACAAACACAATGTCGACACGCGGTAGTGACCTCTAGAGTTGCTGGAAGGCAGATTTGGATAGGCCACAGCCCAGCTAGCTGTTTGCTCCTGTTTCCAGTTTTTGTGCTAAGCTACATTTTTACAGTACAGATTTTCTCATTTAACGCTTGGAAAGCAAGCAATTAAGTGTATTTACCTACATGTCCCAACTACGCTTTTGACTTTTTAATTCATTAATTAATGCCGCTAACAAGTACAAGCTGATTGTTATTTGATGGATAGGCTACAGTTTGTTAGTTTTCTATGTAAGGTGTTTCTAACAAGTGGCCACTTTGACCTCCAAGAAATGATGTTTTTGAGACTGCATCGACAACACGAACACAGTACACTGAGTCTTTGCTGCATATTTACTGTGAACTTCCCTGTTCTGCTCCCTTCAGATCTCTCAATGGCATCACCACAGGCAGTAACCGAAGATGGTTTGATAAAACCTGCAGAGAGCAGATTCACCACATACCCAACCACTGGGCTTTCAACCACCGACACCGACGTTACTTGGTCCACGAGTACGGGTACCGATGCCACCGATGATAATCCACGCCCCGGCAATGTTACGATCACAGCTGGAGAGAACATAACCTCTGTTATAAACGATACAGATGTCAGTGTCACATCATCCCCTGCAACACCAACACATACTGAGCCTTTTCGCTTCCTCAACGCCACTACTTTAAGTTATGGCAGTACAGTGTTCGCATCAACACAGGAAATGGCCATTGATGAAGCGACGAACGAGTCAAACAGGACGGAGGAGTCCAGCACCGCGGGAAACACTACTGGAAACTATGATGTAACTCCAAGACTAAGTACTAGAACTGGAGCAAAAGGTCAAGGTAATGATTACTTAATATTTGACAGATAACACAGGGAAATGTGTGATTAGCTTCCTTTCAAGGATAAAATCCGTCACCACTATCTGCCCTGCCACTCCAAAAAAAAAAAAAAAAAAAGGGATGCACGATTTAAGAGGGGGAGAAAAATCTTTTTAATGTTATCAGCATAGGTTATACTACGCTTTACTGATCTTTCTCTGGCTGAGAGCCTGTATCTACATTCCTTTGTTGCCTGAAATTGGCTCTTTACTGATGCTCTCATATTGTTTGGGGCATATTATTGCTCCAGGGTCACTGCCAGCAGATTGCATTTGTGGCTGTTGTAGAGTAAACAACAGAAACGGTTTAAAAGCAGGAAATAACTACAAACAACCGAGCTAAATGCTCAACTGGCAAAACCCCTTACAAAAATATAGATGACTATCAGCCACAGTTTACTTGCCCTCACCATCTGCATGCATCTTCATGACACGTGGAGGCTTTTTCCCAGCCTCGGGCTACATGCCCTTTTGAGATAGAAACCTCATTAAAAGAGGTGTCAGCTCCTGGGGTTGGAGTGCAACCAGCTCAAGGGGAGAACTGCATGACACACTTTTCTGCCTCAAGGCAAAAAGTTTCACATTGTAGCTTTGCATTTTTATTTTTCTGCTGGGTCTCACCACAGAAAGCTGATCAATATCTTAGGAACACATCTGTAGCTGTTGCTGTCCTCCAAAATGACACTCTTCCTCCCTCTGACCCGGCTTCTCAGATACCAAACGGAGTCACTTGGCTGCGTTAATCGTCGTTCCAATACTGTTACTGATCGTTGTGGTTGGCTTTCTCTACAGGAGACACCTCATAAAACGGAGGTAAAACTCTGCCCGCACACATTCAGGGTCACCCAGTGCGTGACCCTGAAGGAGAGGAAAATATTGATATCAGACTTATTTTCTGATAGATGCACATGACCTATAACATCCTTGTGCTTCCTGGGTACAGCAAACTTTCTAGCAATGTCTCAAGTCAATATTTGTGCTCTCACTCTCCCTTTCTCTCTCTCTCTCTGTCTGTGTAGGATGGCTCTACCGCCTCCGTTCAAACCCCCCCCTCCTCCAGTCAAGTATACAGCTGTAAGACACCATGAGATTTCGACACAGCCTTTCCCCACTGCACGCTGTAACTCGGTAATAGAACTTGAAAGACACGAAAAGAAAATGTATTAACATACGACGACTAATGATGATGGGTTGATAAATTATATGCATTAATTGTTTGGATAAAGTGTTAGCTGTATCCTTTCTTGGTTACGTGCAGAAGTACAAGCTGTATTACTTTCAGTTGTGGTCAGTTTCAAGCTGCAGGAGGGCCAAGTGTACATTGTGGTTGAGTGGGGCTGCGTCTTAGCTATTGTGTATAAGGTGTTTTTGTTGTTTGCTCAAACAGAGGTTAAATATTGTTTTTATTGTAAATGTAATGTAATAAAATAAATGTAGTAAGATTCAACATGAAGTTTCTAATAAATAATAAATCAAATAATAAAATCTGCTTAGATTTGACTCAGTATTAACTCTGAACTATTACACTGCAGCTGCTTGTGTCATTTTCTATTCTCTGACATTCTTGTAATATTGTACAGTATATCTGGTGTGCTTTTCTCATGCAGTCATTAGGATTTGAAGTCCCAGCTCTTACATCTGATACAGCAGTACAAGCATTTTCGTTTGCATAGAAACATAACTACAAAAAAGCTGATTTACTCTCCACGTGTTTTTTTAAAGATCTGCTGCCTCTGCTGCTGTAAAGATGTAATTCTGGCATTCACCTGTACTGGGATTTCCTGCCTTGAAGCACAGTGACTTCCTCTACAGTAGCTGTTTAGTGCTGATGTGACAAATTGACAAAGGGCTTTATATCAAAGGCCACTGTTGTCCACAGGTACCACAGGGTGACAACGGAGTTTACAAAGCTGGGGCTGAAACCACAAACCACATGGGCTAAATGGCTAACAAATATAACAACCACTGGGTGACATTTAACACAGGCACACGTGCACACACGGGGGAAATGGGTATTAGAAATGTTAACAACACCGTTTTTCATAGTTTTTGAATATTTGCTGCTTTTATGGTGATTTATAATTCCTCTGAGGAGAACATTTCTCTGAAAATGTGCTTTGAAAATAAAATACACTTGCAGTTTCTCAGTAGACATTTTTTTTCCCACACTGTTCTTAGATTCACACACACTTGTACATTTAGCTGTACCAAGAAACCTTTCACAATTGCACTTTTTTTCAGATTTTCCAACCACAGTGACAAAAACCACAATGTACGTTGTGTGTGAGAGGTATATTTCTTGATGTACGTAGCTATGATAGCTATGACGTTTGTGCACACAGACAGTCCATGTAATGTATCGAGGTCTATGATACTGTACCCAAACCAAATCTACATGTTAAAACTTCCAGTTTACATGTATTTGAAAGTTTTTAAACAGCTAGCAAATGAACTGAATTAAAAGTTTCCGTGCCAACATTTTAAAAATTTTCACGTTTATATAAATATTAACTTCCAACAGTTGTTTATAAACCATTCTCATATTAAGATAGCAACACGGTGACCTATTTGAAACTGTTTTGTATCTCAGAATGATATTGAGACCGGGTGCCTCAGAATGAGGTTACATAGTTTCCTGTTTGTAACTGAAGAGCAGCCAGTTTTCAAAGCGCTGCGATAAGAGAGGTAACTACAGCAAAGTAAAAATAGACTACAATGGAGCACACCTCACTGACTAAACACAGTGATGCCCTGTAGCCTGAGAGCAACCGTGTCAGACAGACAACCCGTTTTGTTCAAGACGGCTGGAATATGCCAAACGGTAGGATCAGAGCAACTTCTAAAATTATATTTAGATTTTCAAACTCGTATCTAATATTTCTACCATGTACATATCTGTGTAAATATTTGACTGTATCACTTAGTATAAATATACAAAAACAGAAAAAGCTAAATCATTTCTAAAGCACATGTCACAAATATGGCAGAACAAAAGGTGGAAGTAAAGAGTGGAGGATTACAACAGAAAAAACAATGAATTGATAATCCTACTTTTTATGTACTTAACGGTTTATTACTCTGTTTATCATAGTTTTAGCGTCCACATGTAAACTCGTTTCATTTGTGTCACAATACATATGTTCATCATGTGCAGCACATTTGATTTCCTGAAGCACTTGTGACACTTTTTAACCAAATTATTTTACTTACACAGAAACTATCACACGTTCACGCTAAAGCTGTTGTTACAGAAGGAAGAATTCATTTCCTGTGAAACGTGTCAGTATTTTTGAGTTGTAACTGGTAAAATACACATTTTCTTGAAGATAATATTTGTACTACTCAATTGCGTTTTCCAGACTTTTTTCTTCTTTTTCCGAAAAAGATATAGGTGTTCTATATACCGTAGCACAAGGTAGATCAACTCGTAGTATACACTATATACAATATAATTTTAGAATAACCGCCATCACATATTTAATAGTGCAACTTTCTCTGTTTTGCCCTCAGTTTCTCATCTCTACAGGTAAGGGACTGGGATTGTCTCGTATTGCTGAAGCAACTTACTTGTTTTTCACAAGCGATGACACATTTTTAAAAATGTTTCATCATTTATGTTAGTTATCGAGACGCACAGGTGGAAATTCCAAACTGATAAAAGCTGACTGATTCCCTCGGACAGATGTGTAAAAGGTTTGTGGTGTTAATAGTCAGTTTGCGTTTCTCTTTTTAGATTGTCAGACTGAACTGGTGGGTCTGCTGCTGTTATTTCTGGCCTTGTTGATGTCTATGTGTCTCAATCTGTTCTTCTGCATCAGACAAAGAGCCTATTTTTGCAGAGGTATGATTATGTGTAAAGTTTGGAGGGGGGGGGGGGGGTTGGCATATTGTTTTGCTTTTACAAGGACACCAGGACATTCTATAAATTGCTATATATTTTGTTTATACAGACAAAGGCAATTGCTGTTACCCAAAGAATTATGAAGGAGGAGGGTATGCTTTTTATCTTCTTTTTTTAAATTAGGCAAAAACACGTGCACATCCGCTCATTATTATTCAGTCCAATGCATTTTAATCTGTAATAAGTAATAACCATTATTCCAATATTTCAATTTTATTTTTGTTTGAAGCCTTTCACCGGATGTAGGCAATTATTTTCATGACCTCAATCATCACGAGCAGCAGGAAAATCCCCACAATGATCATGAGCAACAGGAAAATCCAATCTATGGCAACATCAGCACAGACAGAAGAGGTGAGTGCAGGCCTGCCATTTATAGAAAATAACGCCATTTTGCTGAGCATGCCACTGTATTACTCAGTCGATCACAAAAATTAGATAAGATAAATACGATCAGATTAAATGTATTAATCCCATTGAGGGGAATTCACATCATCACAGCAGCAGCACAGACGAGGTATCAAGCGTAGTTAAAAGAAAAATATTTACATCAGTGTATTTACATGAGGTGTAGTATTGCACATGTGTGAAGTGTAAAAAAAAGTTGCATGAATCACAAGAAATGTAGCCCATGTAGTATTTGACATGTTTAGTTTTTTTTTTTTTTAAATATAATTGTTTCTTTTTTCTGTATTTGTAGACACTATATTTTTGCAAATGCCGTGTGGCCAAGTTATAGAATCATTAAAAGTGAATGAAAATTCATTTGAATCAATTGCATGCAGTTCACACATGAGATAAATGCATAAATAAAAGCATTTACTATAGTTTAAATTCATTTTGAATATTAAGCTGCACTGTTTGTTGAAGTCAAGTGGCGTAGAGCTTTACCGTCATGACCATCGTTCTCCTTGGACTGGATGGTGCAACAGAGAGGGCTGAGTGCAGGGGGATATACATATGCACCATACGTATTACACTGTCATACCATACACTTACGACCTACTATATATACTGTGGTATAAAAAAAACTATGTGCTGAATATAACTATACTTTACAGATGTAAATATAATGTAAAGATATAAATTTAGTGTAATAACATAGGTATGGTGTAAACATTGTAACGGCATGTGAATCGCATGAAGGCAATGAGGATCTTGTGCAATTAGGCAATATGCAAATTGTCCAACTGTCCTGTTGGTTGTAATTTATTCAGTCATAGCATTTACAAGTGTATATTATTCTCTTTTGAAATTAATGTAATTTATATTTTCTTAATTAGTAGAATGTAAATGTGCCAAATCATGTGTTTCACTTCAGGTTCAGGTCGTGTAGAGGTTTGCTATGAGATGATGACCATGCATCGTTTGAAGGTGATTGCTACAATTTCATTACCACATTTCTATTTCTCTGTGAGTTTGTTTCCATGGATTTAGTTCTTACGTAAGTCTCACATCGTTTTCTTTACGTGATGTTGCTGCATACAGTGTTAGTGTATTTTAGTTTATGTTACATTTGATAGCATGTGTAGGGACAGACAGCGTTACAGCAGAGTGGAAAAATTGTGCATAATGTTACTGTGCGTTGTGGTGGTTAATTCTGCTCCTGCTCGATGTTTTCATATTCATTTATATTTATATTTGCACGTGTTTTCCCCTGGATGAATTACATTATTAAATCTCATTGTTAAAGCTTTGCATTTCCAATTAGGAGGATTAAATGTAGTAAATATAATATGCGCTTGAAGGTAACGAGCAATAATGGGTTGTTGTTTTCAGTCAGAGTTGTTTTCATTATAGTTATATGCTAAACCACATGTTTGAACGCCTTTGGTTTATGCTGCTATTTTGGTATATGTTGTGATGTATATATATTTAGTATATGTGTTCAGTTTAAAATGAAAGAAAATATATGACATGTAGCCTATTTTATGAAATAAAAAAAAAAAACCATGCAGACCAGTTTAACCCATGCTGACAGATTTGCTTTCAAAACGGAAAGCAGCGAACACCATAGACACATTGTGGTCAATAAAACTGTGAACCAATGAACACAACTAAGCAAGAAATGTTCTAAAAATAAACATGTCTATGAGAAATATTTGAGAACCTGCAGGATATTTGATTTAAACTGGGGTACAGTGCTGCAGCACATAAAAACTTCAACAAATTATACTTTACCCACCGTTTTTTGTCTCTTATGTCTGAAACCAGCCTTTAGAGCCTGACCTCAATTACGCCTCCCTTGATCTGAAGTTGGCAAAGAAACGTAAGAAGAAGCATCGCCATCAGCAAGACCAGACTCAGAGCCGAAGCAACCGTAAGGATCAGCTGCCTGTTCAACTCACGCCGCCCGTGAATTCTTTCTTGGAGGTGGAAGGAGACGTGGACGCTCACCTTCCTTCCAGAGACACCAGCACCATGGTCTCACACAGTAGCATCTACCTGAACAGTCAACAGATAGCCCAAGAGACAGAGGAGATGGAAAGAGAGAGGGGCATAAACATGGAGAGGGAGATCACAGGATGGGAGGGGATGAAAATGCAGGAGGATGAGGGAATTAGAGAATGGAAAGGAGAGAAAGAGGGTGAGGAAGGAAAAGATAGACAAGGTGTTGGTAATGGGACCGTGTGTGCACAGCTTTCAGACTTACAGGCTATTCAGAATGGCACAGATCAATAAGCACATATCACATTAATACTTGCTGTTTCAAACTGTTCAGAACTTGATTCTAGGTCACCTGGAAATGCGAAATAAAGATATTATCTATTACTGTCTACAAGAATGAAAAGTATCTGATCTTCAGTATTCACACAGTTGAGCAATTTCCTCTTTGATGCAAACAAGCTACCTCTACCTCTCGAACTTAATGTAGAGGACATAACGAGAAAAGGAAATAGGGTGTGTGACATTTAGAGGTCAAGGGGCCACGTGGAAATTTTCAGTTTTTGTTGCGAAAGACAAGGAAAACACTGAATCGTCAAAGGACAAGGATGATCTTTCACTGTTTCACTGATGTCTCACAGTCATATGTCAACAGATGTCTCATAGAAAGGTGTGGAAAAAAATCGTACATGTTTTCCATGCTGTAGGCACTGGCCAAGCTTCAAGACAATGTTTTCTTGAATGAATGAGCTTGTCTAAGCAAATGTGAATCTGCTTTTAAAATCACGTTATGACTCGAGATGAAGCTAATATGAAGATAAAAATGAAAGGCAAGACAGTAAAAAGGGGAAATGAGATTAGGACCGCCGACCCGTCCATGGGCCCATTAGAAGGATCTGAACTGTTCTGACGGAGTAAACGCTTAAACATTTGTCAATATAGATTATTAAATATATTAATATCTAACAGCATTGTGTACAATTGGAGCATGGTGACTGCCTACAGGTCAGATTCTCACTCCATTCCCTTAGTCCGTAAGGCTCCACAGATCACAAAAATCAAAAGGGTTCCTATGTTATGAATATCGTCATGAGAAGTCAAAGGAAACAACTAGCGATTTGTAACTGCTGCTCTTCCCTCACTTCTCTCTCTCAGTCCGGCTCCATCTGCAGCTGTTAGCAGGTCTGCTATTGTTTGTTAGCTTTCTGGCTACAAAATTGAGGCATCCCTGTAAAGGTCCAATCAGATTTCACTTCAGGAGGGTCGGGGTACATCCATAGGGAAGACGTAAGACTTAAGACGTGTTCTCTCAGTCAGAAAAAGCCTGTTTTTTTCACAGCTTTTCGAACGACTCTAGCTTGTAGATGGACGTCTCCCCTGACCAATCAGAACAAAGTAGGGGGGTGGGCACTGCAGAGGCAAGGTGAAAAAGTTTTCTTAGACATCAAAACGCTACAGTATGTTTTCTATCATTTTATATTAAATAGTTTAAGCACATTTCTCCAAGTTTTCCTTTTAGAGGTTTATGGGCGCCAGTGAAAAGATGAACTATAAGGCCTACTAAACTAAACTTTTAGGCCTAGGGGCCTCGAAGCTTCACACACTTTTTTTTTTTTTTTTTAAACACAGGAGAGGACTGAAAAATCCTTTTTTTTAAAAAATACCATGTATGAGCTGCTGTAGTTTAGGTTGGGTTGTAGTCACATGCAAAACAAGCACATTTTCAGAAACCTTTCAGATGAGCTCTCAGAGATGCATTTTGACCTTACAGTTCTTCTGTTATAAGCGTATTAAATTTACATATGCAAATGATTGCGAATTACGTTTAAAACAGGTGGGTTCTAAGAGGATAATGTCACTTTATTTTCCACGTGGGTATATTGTTATGTAACCGTCACCCAAAGAGGATTTTCCACATGAAACTTGTGATAATAGTCATTACCTTTATAATCTATTGTGCTAAAGATTTAATGCGCCATCTGCTTAAATGACTATGTCCCTCTCTATAATCCCTACTTGGGAATGATAATTTACTGCCCTGCTATCTTCTGAGGGAACTGAGCTCTGATATGAACTCAGCAGTCAGAGGCCCGCAGCACACTAACCATTTGTTGACAGTTTTTCAATAGATGACCGTGGCCTACTTTCCCTCTATGGATTAATTTTTGGCCTCAGGAGTTTTGGATCTAACTGTTGCAGACACACAGGGAAGCTACACAAAAAGACAAATAATAGGCCACTATAAGTAACTGTGTGTGCAATCAATACATATATACAGTGTGTATCCATCGCTACATGACATTGGATTGCACAGGATATTTCCTTGATTGCTTTGGTTGACATAATAATAGGGAGACTTTTTTTTATCCTGCTCACACAGCACTGAAGCTTTTCAGGTTTCTTCCAGTGGCAGATGGTGGATTACAGATAACGTTTTCTATTAAAATTAGGATATGTTGTTAATTTACATATTGGACATGTTGCAGTGAACGCTAGCAGTCAAATATTAACGGCCAAAGCATTTGTTTTACAACTAAATATCCAACCGTTCAGTGCAGTATCTATGTGTTCACAAACATTTAACTGAAACCAGTCTTTTCCTAACTAGAGTGCTAAACCAACCACGGACAGTGGATGCGAAGCCCTGGTCTCTGGGGTGACCATTGTGTGCTTTGTACTGACATCATTCACCCCAACCAGCTTCTTGTGAATCTGCTAATAAACATAGTTTTTCATTCAAAAAAAAAAAAAAAAGCCTCAGAATGTAATCCAGCCAGTGATTAAGTTTGCTGTTGCAGTTTAGTTGTACAGAAAAGTAAAGTATATGAGACAATGTTGCATCAGTTTGTTAATAGAAACATTAATGAGTGCTGTCACAATTATGTTTCCTTCAAAACATATTTGTTGTAGCAATTTAGCTGTATATAAACATAAGAGTTGTATAGACAGAGTCGTATCAGGTGACTGAGAAACAGCGGATATCAACAACTGCACAGTATTCTTATATCGTTTGACTCATTTGAGATGTGACTTAATGACTTTCACTGAAACAAACACTTTCACGTCTCACATGCACAATTTATTTTCAAACGTTCATTTGCATATTCCAGAACACCTCTGTGTGACGTCACTGACAGGAGCACATTCCGTGTTCTATACGTCACACCTAAAGAACACGCGGAGACACATTTCAGCATACAACTGTTGGATCTACGTTCAATCGTCGTGTTAGTGAAGTTAGTGAAGTTAGTTATATTGTTAGTGAAGTTATCGCATTCGAAACTTCTGGAGAATCTTCATGGATAAAGCACCTGGAAGGAAGATCAAGAATCGCCGTTGTCAGGCTCTCAGGAGAGATAAAGGTAAGTGAGAAATGACTGTTGTTGAGCCCTTTTTCTCATGCTGAAAGGTTATTTAAAAAAAGACAATTTCAAACAGTTAGCCTCTACAATTCACAACAAATTGATTTTTCACTGTTTCACTGTATTTTTCCTCATTTACAGAGAGCAGCAGCAGCAGCAGCAGCACTCAACAAAATGCATCACCTGCAATGGATAGCAGGACTCAGAGACCTAAGAGGAAGGCCAGTCCTGAAAAGAAGACTCAAAGAAAAAGGAGAAGGGCCTCTGAGATGGCTGAACCCTGTGGCAGCAATAAAGAGGATGGCATTGTGAGGAGAGGGAAGAGGAAAGTAATGGACGATGGAGAGGGGCCATCAAAGCAGCAGCAGAAGAAGAAGAAGATGCCAGTATTCTACCTTCTCAAAAACAACGAGGACTCGGCCTCCACCTCAGTGGACACTGGTAAACCTAACCTGATCATGTGAAATTACAGTTGGGAGTGTTTTTTCTTTGAAGATTCCACAATGACTACACATGCACATTTTAAAACACATACATACAGATGCATAGAATATAGAATGAAGTATTTATTTGTGCAGATTGTTTTAGTTTTTTTTTCTGTCCATATTTTGAGATATTTGTCGCTGAGATTTTTTGCACCTTATTGTAGATGAGCAGACTTTCATATTTGTCATTTAGGTTGGAGGATTTTATTGTCCAACAAGCTGATGTTCCTCTGGGTGTTTTTCTCTTCTGCAGAGAACAGCGACCCTTTAGAAGGCTGCAGTACATTTGTGGGATATGTGAGCAAGAGAAGTGTTAAGAGAAAGGCCCCCGCTGAAAGAGAAGGACCAAGGAGGAAGAGGAAGAGGAGACTGGACCCCAAGGAGACAAAGAAAGAGGCGGAGGAGTCAGTAGATGCCCAGAGAGGTAAGTAGGAAGAAATTAATGTAGAGTTTGACTTTGTGTTAAGGTGGGGTTTAAAACGAGGATTTACATCAGTTGTAACATAGGAGGGATTAATATTTGAGCTTGAATAATTAATGTTCCTCACAATTGTATTAAAACAAAATATGTGTGTTTGTGTTTAGCTCAATTTAAGGCCAAATACAAACAGCAGAAACAGCTCGGTGAAGGAGGGTGTGGGTCTGTGTTTGCTGGCTACCGCAAAGCAGATCATTTACCAGTAAGTGATACACACACATTCTCATGTACGCACAAACACACAAACACACACCATATGGTCATAATGTGCTAATCAAAGTGTTGTTTGTGTCTTGTAGGTGGCTATCAAACACATACCAAAGAACAAGGTGTTTTGTAAGGAAACGGTGAGTAAACAACACCGACTGTTGTTGAAATGTGCCGCATTCATCAACACCCTCACTAACTGAATGTAGTGGGAATGAATTATAGTCATCTATGGAGCACCTCTCCCTCATCCTCTATCCTGTTGCTATGTTTCAGGACCAGAATGGGAACGAGCTGTCTGTGGAGGTGGCTGTCATGTTGAAGCTCTCTGCTGAAACGCCTGGATCAGTGGGGACGTCAGCGTCTGTGTCTCTACTGGACTGGTATGACCTGGGCCAGAAGCTCATCCTGGTGCTGGAAAGACCAGTCCCCTGCGAGGACCTCTTCACGTACCTGGAGGTCAAACGAGGCACTATTCAGGAGGAGGAGGCCAAGGTAAGCTACTGGAGGATCTTATGTGTAGGACGGCAGTTGTGGTCAGCTTTGAATCACAACAGCTAACACAGAGTCACCATGTCTCTTCGTCTGTCTCTCTCTCAGATCATACTGAAACAGCTACTTCAAGCAGCAACCGAACTCGAGAATCAGCGCATCTTTCACCGGGACATCAAACTTGAAAACATCCTTATTGAGACGGGCTCAGACGTCCCGCGTGTTCGCCTCATCGACTTTGGACTCAGCTGTTTCTTCAAGAAAAGATCAGTTTTTCAAGATTTCTATGGTAAGATGTCTGGCTTCTACTACTGCTCCTCAATAATTCACTGGTCTGTAACATTTAATCAAAGCTTCTCCTCC